CATGTGCCAGAGAGAAAAGGGGTAGAACTCTGACAGTAGCTAACCCATTCCTAGGGGAAAGGCATTGTCTCATCCGGGGACTCCAGACCCCTTCCCTAGACCCCACCTCCCAACACTGTTACAATGGCGATGACTCCACAAACCACAGCACACACCAAACAAGTGAACCACTCACTCCAGGCTTACAGTCAGGTGGGTCTGGATGGGAAGACATGTTCGCACAGTGGTTTGTTTTCTGGCTTGGCAACTACGATCGGGTAGTAAGGCCAGCCGCCGCTAGGCCCTCCGTAGTGGATGGCCTGAAAGCAGTGGCCGGATTCCGGGTGGCCTAGTTACAAAGAAAAAGAAGCAGGTGTGGCCTACAGGAAACAAGAATTCCAGCCTTGTGCAGGGTCAGGTACCACAGCGAGGAAAGGACCAGGGTCCAGCAGTTCTTGGGAGACCAGTTCAAGGTGGTGGGGAAGAACAACAGAATTCCCAGGAGTGGGGCGGTCCTGCAGGTCAGGGGAGGTGTCTGCTTCCACAGGGCCCTGCAGGGTCTCTGCTGTCCCTCCCCTCCAGGACCTCAGGGCAGGGGCTGTGGAAGCTGATAGGGGGTGGCCCTGCCTGGTCCCCTGAGCCTTCAGTTGGCTTTCTTTCTCTACGGGGTTTGGGCCTTGGGCCTTGGCAGTGCTCGGCCCTGCCTCTCCCACCTGGGCTCCCGGCCCACTCTGGATTTGTTAGTTTGGTGGTGGAACTTGCCTTACACCAGGGAAGCATTCCCAGGAAGGTGGCTGAGGACTAGACGTGGGTAGGTTGCACTCAGTTCCCAGTGCTCTGCAGTTGCACCAGGTTAAAGGAAGACTTAATCGGCAAGTGGAGGGTTCCCCCAGCCTGGGTCTGGCCAGGTAGGGTCGTCCTGGGAGCCCCCATGAAGTCAGGCCCCTGTCGTGCAGTCCTTGGCTTCGTCATCACCTGGACCTGGCGAGAACCGGGGTCAGCATCGAGGCACCCTCACGTCCCTGAGTTTGGCTGTGACCTGCACACACCTGGGCTTCCCTGGGCCTGCAGTGTGGCTGGCCTTGCCAGCCAGGAGGAACACTGTGGCCGGAGCCTCATTACCATGGTTTGCTGTGGGGAGCGGCACATCCACATGCCTTCACTGCCAGGAGCCCACAGCTTTGGCCCCCAGCTTTGGCCCTGTCCCCACTCCCCTTCCTGTCCCAGAAAGCTCATTCCTTCCACTCGGCTTCTCACAGGCAGTGGGTCACTTCAGGCTTCTTTTCCCCTAGTACTGGCCACTGAGCCCAGGGATACTCTACCACTGAGCCACATGCCTGGCCCTTCTTAGTTTTTACTTTGAGACAGGGTCTTGCTAAATTGCCCAGGCTGGCCTCTAACTCGGGATCCTCCTTCCTCAGCCTCCTGAGTAACTGGGACTACAGGCCTGCACCACCACCCCTGCCTTCATTCCAGTCTTAAAGTATCCACGTGAAGGAAGCAGAGTAGGTCATTTCAAGCCCACGTTATAGAAGGAAAAGAAGCTCAGAGACTTGCTAAATGCCCCCCCCCCCAAGTTAGTGAGCAACAGCGGCAGGGTGAGATGAGCACAAGAACTAGGCTTCTCTGAGTCTGGTCCCCAATTTCTGCTCAGTGCTGGAGAGATCCCTTTCGAACTTGAGTTTCCTTACCTTGAGACCACGTTCGAGCGTTTTTTCTCGGGAAAGGTGATCTCTTTCTTTGAAAAGATTATTTTCAGCTATGGTGCACTCGTGTTGTGGAGACTACCAGGTTTCTGCTGGAAAGTCTACAACATCAGACAACGACCTTAGAGATCAGTACGCCCACATGCTTAATTTTACAGTGTGAGCATTGAGGCTCAGAGGAGTCAAGCCACTTGCCCAAAGTAACACAGCTGGTTATGGGCAAGACCCCCTCATGCAGATTCCCAGTCCAGTGCCCCTTGCTTCCCAGCAGGCCCGTGACCCTGTTCCGTAGGGCCTTTGGTTCTGTGTCACCAAGAGAGGGAGGTGGAGACAGGGGGGAGGACAGAAAGCAGTTGGTTTGTGTCTGTCACAGCTGCTCCTTCGGCTGCACCCTTCGGCCCCCCTCACCCCACCTCGCTGTCTCTCCATCTCCATTTCCCCAGCCCTGCGCCAGCAGCCTCCTCTGCCTCCTGGCCAGACAGCCAGGGTTCGGGAGCCAGGGCTGTCCTCTGTTCATTGTAAGGAGCGGAAGGGCGCCTTCCCACCCGGGGAGAGGGCTTGCTCGGGTGGCCTGGGGGAAGGAACTGCGGCACGGGCGCTGGGTGGGAGCAGTGGCATGGAGTGACTCTGCGCCTCCGCGGGACTGGGGGAGAGGTCATCTTTCTTTTCTTTGAGAAGGACAGGCTCGTTTCTGTCTGCTTCCCATTTTCTCTTGGGGGCAGGGGAAGGAAGGCCAGGGGACAGGCTTGAGCTCAGGTGGGCTGCCCATCCTCCAGGCCCAGCCCCCCGAGTGGTTCTGTAAGTGACACCTGGGAGCAGCCTGCTCCTGGTTTCCCATCCTGTCCACGGCTGCACGTGCCCTGCCACAGCAGGGTCTCCACGGAGGCCCCTTGTCGACCCCCGTGCTAGTGGACAGGTCCTCCTGGGTTCTCCGGGCTGGGGAAGACGCCTGGGTCCACTGAAAGAGGTCAGCCTTTCCCAGAGCATTTCCTCCCGAGGAACCCCCAAAGGGAGGAATGGAGCACGAACGCCGTCAGAGGTGGAGGGGGTTGTGGGTGACCTCTTAGCAGGGACAGATGGGGCTGGGCTGGGCCTGGCACTAGCCTACCCGGGGGCGTGGCTGGGCACTGCTGGTTGGGCAGCCCACGGAGCCACATCTCTGGGTTGGGCAGTCGGAAGTTGGAGGCTTAGCAAGATGTGGGCACCCAACGGGAGCTCGGGCCTGCTGGGCCACACAGCGTAGCCCTGGGGGGGCTTCGGCGCATTGTCCGTATCCAGGCCACGCCAGGGCTGGAAGTCCTGCTGCCAAGGCGCCTGCTGACTACTAGGCCTAGGGACAGGCTCTGGCTGCAGATTGAACCCTGTTCATCCCTTGACCCCAATTCGGCTGACCTGGTGTCTGAGAGTGACTGCGGGGAAATATTTGGGCGCAGGTGCCAGTGTGTTCTTGGTACGTACAGTAGCGAATGCCATCGAGTTTCCATCCTGGCAACCCTGGGAGCATGATTTTCCTGCGGCACTCAGAGGGAACTGAACCCAGGGAATCCAGTGTGTGCGAACACACTCGAGATAGATATGGCCAATGGCCGCTCACCCTACTGAGCCGCACCATGCAGGGCACTGTGATGTATTACCTCATTTAATCCTCACAGCAACCGGAGGTAAGTGTGTCACTTCATCCTGAGTTTAACAAGATCAGGAACAGGATCAGAGAGGTTAAGTAACTTCCTCAAAGGGACAGAGCTTGGATTTGAGCCCAGGCAGACTCCATAGGCCTCCCTAAACCTCTCCACAGAGCCCCCAGTTGGAAGTCTGTGGGCTTCCAATGCAATCTGGAAGGGCCATCTTCCCATTTCTCTGTGGAAAGTCAGCCTGCAATTGGAAGGTGGCTTGCTCAACAAGGGAGAGGGTGAGGTGCTTTAAATGGTAAGTGGCATCCAGCTCTGATCACCTGAGGTCTGTGTCCCTAAAGAGATGGACACTACTAGCTTGCAGCTTTGGGCAAGTAACTTAACCTCTCTGGTTTGGTTTCTTCATCTGCAAAAGGGAGGGAATAATAGTATCTACCACTGTAAACTGTTGTGAAAAATAAGTATGTTACTCTATGGAAAGTATTGGTACAAAGCTTGGCAGACAGTAAGTGCTATATAAATGTATGCTGCTGTTTATTGTTACTATCTGTGAAGGGATCAGGCAGCTTTCCTGGACAGCCTGGTGGACAGTGCAAGGGTTTGCTCTCAGACTTACATCTCCATGTTTTCCTATAATTATCCCCACAGCAGCCAGCTCTCTGCTCCTTGGAGGTGATGAACAGCCCAGCAGAGAAAGTATTCGACTTGGGGTGCCGCCAGGCCTGGTTCCATTTCTGGCTCCTGGAAACTTGGGCCAGTTACTTCCCCTGTCTGAATAGCTCCTGTCTGCAAGATGGGTCCACAGATGCGTGCYCACCTCTTGGGGTTGTGTGGGAAGTAAATGAGTCTGTACTGGCAGCCAGCACCCGGGCTGCATGTGTTATAGCTCTGATGTTCTAAAAATGTTCACACCTGTGATTAGGCCAAGAGCTTTCTGCCTCAGGACGTTAGTGGCACCACATCTCATAATCAGATGTTCTTCTATGGTGCTTTGATTTTTTTGCTCCTCCTCCACAGGATAACTTAACCCCATTTTACAGGTGAGAAACTGAGGCCCAGATGGAACACCATTGTCTGAGCATGGAACAGAGCGGTCATGTCCTGGTCACTAGAGGTCCCTCTTGCCTAGAGCCAGGAGTGAGGCTCTATCAGGGAGACTCCCTTCCACTCTCACTGGGTGGGACTGTGGCAAGAGCTGAGCAAGGGTACCTAGTAGATTGGCACCCCAAAACCTGGAGCCTGGCCTGGAGTGCCTCAGCCCTTACATTTGAGCTTCTGGGTCCAGGCTGCTCAGCCTGTTAGCTCACCAGAATCCCGGGAGCTCTGTGGGGCCAGCCACCCACATGGCCACAGAGAAGAGAGGGCTGCCTGCTTCAGGGCCCTGGAACCAGAGGGTCCCACTGCAGGGAGGCTTTGCGTAGGATTCTCTGCGCTCCAGAGGATTCCTGCGTTTCGACAGACACCTCATTATCCCGGTCCCAGCCTCTGTAATCACACAGGCCCACGCCCAGCAGCCATCCCAGGGCCAGGAAATCACTCCCCTCCCCTCCCCTCCCCCGCCTTCCGCCCACGGCTGCTGATCCAGCGGCGCCTGCAGCACTCGGGTGGACCTCCTGCCTGCCTAACGGTTCTCTCTCCTCTGGTTCTCCTCTCCTGCTGCTTGCTCTCTCGGGGGACTCTGAAGTGTGGCTGTCCAGCTGGGCTGAGTCTCCCAAGAAGGACGTGACAGGTACTGCCCGGTGTGCATGTGCCTGCGTGCATGCGAACATGTGGGTCCCAGCGCGCATGCTCCGGAGCCGGTGCCCGCGGGCTCCTTTCCGCTTGTTTCCCTGTGACTTGCGGCAGCCCTTTGTCGGCATGCAGGGCATCTGGCACTCTCCGTGCCCTCGGCCTGCCAGGCTACCCCTTTTTCATTCTCAGATCCAGCCTTGAAGCCCTTTGTGGGGTGCTGACCACGCAGCACAGCTGTGAGCAGATGTGCTCTGGCCACAGGGTGTGTGGGTTTGAAGCCCGGCTCTGCCACGTCCTGGCTGAGCCGCCTGGAGCGGCTTGCGCAACCCCTCTAGGGGGCTCTAATGCTACCTTGGGGATCCTGACACACAGAAAGCGCTTGGGCGGTGGTGTGGTGGTGGGCTACCATTCTCTTTGGCATTATCTTATTGGCTGTCCCTGTGAGTGTGGGGCAGGCCAGGCAAAGGTGACTGGTCTCACTTAAGGTGGTTAAACCAAGGCAGGGAGCTGAGGTCCTTGTGCCAAGCCTGGTTTCCAGAGATCTCAGTGGGGAACTGGTGATTTGGGGTGGGGGTGGAGCTGTCTTGTGACTGTGACGGAGGGTGGGTCACAGCTCCCAGGACCCAGCAATACAGATATTGAAGCTGCCGCTAGCCTGGGGGTTTTCAAGGCTTTGGCCCGCTGGCCCACATGGCCCTCAGGGACAGGGGCCTTGGCCTGTGTCTGGGCAGAACTGGGCCATGGGTCAGGGACTTGACTTTAGCCTTTGGTCTTGCTAGACAATGTCAAGAAAAAAAACAAAACAAAACCCTGAACATCGGGATTTTCAGTGCCTGGACAGAGATGATCAAGGGAAGGATGGGATTTCCAGAATGGTCTTCCATTGGGCCCCTTCATTTCTAAGAGCAGAGATGCAGGCTGGGGGCTTGGAGGAAAAGCAGAAGGGTCGAGGGTCAGAGGGGGCTGGGCTGGCTCCAGGGCTTAAAGCCCAGGCCCCAGCCCTCCCTACCACAGCTGTTGGCAGGGAATGGGAGGCCGACGTCCTGGGAGAGGGGCCAGGAGAAGAGGAGGCAGTGGGGGGGGAGGGCCTGCTTCCCTTGCAATCATCCTTCTGGTGTTCCCTGTGACGAGGGGCTGGGGCCTGAGCTAATCACTGGGCGCCTGTCCCTTTTTCCCCTCTGCATGAGCCAGTGAGCCACTTGGCCCACAGCGATACATTTTATTCACCAAACGTATAGCTGAGAGACCAGCAGCCCCAGTGCAGCCTGGGAGGGGCTTGTGAGGGGCTGGAGGGGCCGTGGTGGCATGCCCAGGATTGGGAGAGTGATAGGGATCCTGGGGCAGAGGCCACCACATAACCTGTCTTCTCAGGAGGAGCCCCGCTGCTTGGAGCCAGAGACCCAGGAGAGGCAGTTTGGCTGAGGGGAGTCCAGAGTTGGGGTCTCAGGCAAGTCACCAGGTTTCTCTGGGCTTTGGTGTCTCAAAAGTCTTGAGAAGTTGTTGGAGAAGTCTTGAGACAGGAAACTCAGAGGTGACTGGTTGGTGCTAAAGATGCTAATAGATAAGGGTCTGGGGGCTGCTTAGTCTGGCATCCACCCCGGAGTGGGCCCAGGGAGCTCTGGTCTGGCTCTTTCCCTCTGGCAAGTGCTGGCTGCCTGCCTGGAGGTGGGTATGGGAGAGGCATGTTGCAGAGACACAGCCCTACAGTTTACATCGGACTTTAACCCCTGTAACTTCACTCCATGCTCAGAACAGCTATGAGGTTCTGCTTTTTTTTCTGTGTGCAGATGAGGAAGCTACATCTCAGAGAGGTTAAGTGTCCTCCCCAGGATAGAGCAAGTAAAGGTAAAGCAGAACTGGACCTGACCCTCAGATCCTAAGCTTTTGCATGGATGAATCTCATAATGATTTTTGTCCCATCCTATGGCACCTGTCCTGAGTTGTCACCACTTATCATGGAGACTGTGGAATGAAGCACACAGTCTGGTTGGGCATCCATGCCCAATAAAAAAAAGTCCAGGAGAGAACAGGAGGGGGCACCATGGCTAGGGTGATGGGGGAGCCTTCTGCAGGGGCAGAAATGTTAGGGGAGAATTGGGTTTGGCAAAGAGAAGGGAAGGCATTCCAGGCAGGGGCAGGGGCTGCAGCAAAGGCTAAGAAAGTCAGATCTTGCATAAAATTTTGTCATTGGCACGCAGTAGGTGCTCAATGCATGTGTTTTGAATCATGAATATTTCATGAAAGCGTGCAGGGCGTCAAGGAACTTGAGCTTAGATTGCAAGAAAGATCGGGCTTGAATTCAGCCTTTATTCTGTAGGTAACAGGGAGCCACTGAAGATGCCGGAGCACGGGACTGACTTGGCAGAAGCCTAGTTTAGAAGTTTTAAGTTGGCAGTCAGGATTGACCAGGAGCCAGGGTTCCATCCAGGTGGGTGTTGGAGAAACACAGGTGTGAGGCAAGGGAAGGGCAGGGATTCCAGGGACCCCCGGAGCCCCAGCAGATCCAGCACAAGGTCTGCCTCTGAATGAGGCTCTGCGAAGTCCCCTTCCAACCTGGGGGAGGCTCTGCTCTCTACCAGGGGTCCAGCCCTCCTCCTTGCTTCTGCCAAACCCTTTTCATCTGAACACCAGAGGCTCCCTCCTCTACCCCTCCCCTCCCTTCTCTCGGGCAGACTCCTCCAGCCCCCAATTTTCCAAGCTTTGGCTGGGAGGGGATCCAGAGCCGCCTCTGGGATGACATCACTGCCCACCAGCTGCCTGGCCCACCGAGCTGCAGTTTCTCATCTGGATACCTGGTCCTGGCACTTCCCAGCACACCCACCACCCTGGCCCCAGGGCAGTGCCGCATAGTGACGCCCAAAGAGGCAGTGCCTGTGTTGGGGGAGGGGTGGGCAGCAGGAAGGACAAGTTGTCTTTCTGTGTGTCTGTCCCACAACCTAAGGAGTGGCCTCCAGGAAAAGCTACAGCCCGTCTGAGTTCTGTAGCGCTGGCCCTGCATTCTCTTCACCTCCCTACCTGTGTCCCAGAGTGTGGGCCTTCAGAAGACTCCAGACCAATTTTCCAGAGGCTGGGGGGAGGGGCCAGGGAGTAGATTTTCCTCCACTTTGGAAATCTTGCCTCAAATTTTTCTTGGCATGGATCAAAACGAGCTGATGGGATCCACTTGCCAGCACCTCCTCTTTGCTCCAGCATTCTCTGGCCACAAATCAGGAGCTCCTCTTTGCCTCAGTTTCCCCAGCTCCCACTCTTCTCTTCCAGTTCTATTGTCTAGTTTTCCCCTGTTCAGCATGTAAGGCCGGGATCGGCTCAACAACACCAGATCCCTCTGTCCTGTGTCTTGCCAGATCATTCACTTCACACAGAGTGTCCACCACCTAATGGGTCCTGGGGTCTGCCCAACAGAGGCAGCAAGAATCCCACACTACAGTCTTTCTTAGACACCACCTGTATGCCAGGGTGTCTGGGGATAGAGTGAGACGGGACTCTTCCCTGGAGACCAGGTACCTGGCACCCCATTGGCCGTATAAGGTGCCGAAGAAGTAAAGATCATATGTGAAGGTCAGCTGGACTTGGGTGCAGCCATGGGACTTTAGGAAAATCACTTCCCTTCCTGAGACTCGGTTTGCCCATATGTAAAGTGGGGCTACAGCAGGGCTTACTGCATAAGGCTGTCACGGAGATTAAATGAGACAGAACCGGACTTTACGGAGGACTTGACCTTGAGGAAGCCTCAACTGAGGTCTGCTGTTACTGGTAGAATTGGGGCGCCCCCAGGACTTGGAAGCTGATGTCCCTTGGGGACACACTGGGGGACATCTGTTCGCCTAGTGCTGCTGCTGTCCTGCTGGCAGGGCAGGCACAGAAGCTGGCAGCATCTGAGTGCAGGGGCGGAGCCGGCCTGCTGCCCAGCTGTTGGTTGCATTTCTGCCTGAAATACAATCCGCCTGTGGAGGGGCTGCCTGGGGCTGCATGTACACACTCATGTGGCACACCTCAGCAGGGGCGGGGTCCCTTCTGGGTCTCCAAAGAGTCCTGCTGGGGCCGCAGGGCCCACACTATGTTAGAAAGCCGCCAGGGCAGTGGGTTTCTATCTCCCCCCAGGAGGGCCTCCCTTGGGGTTTCCCAGAGCAATGTGGCTGGTGCCCCCTGCCTAGGCTGCCCAACAAAGATCTAACCAGTGCTTCTCATTCCTGGCTGCACCCCAGAACATGGGGCATTATGGGGTGTCTACAAAATACTTGTTCCTGGGTTCTGACCACCTGAACCTGGACCTCTGAAGCTGGTGTTTTTAAACAGCTCCTCAGGTGAGTCAGTGTCACCAAGCTGAGGACCACTGTAGTCAAAGAGTGACATGTGTGGAAACAGACATCAGGTGGTTCTGTCATGGAAAGAGAGATGAACTTGATCCTAAAAACACTGGGGAATCCTGGTTCTCTCCATGCCAGCAGTGGGAACTGGGGGAGTCTCTTGCTCTCTCTGAGCCTCTGATTAGTTTGTAAAATGGGGAAAGAGGGCTGTTGTGAGGTGCTGGCACATAAGTCAGGCCCAGGAGTGTAGGGCCTGTGGGCCGTGGGTTGAGGCACCGAGGGGCTGAGAGGAGATCCTCAGCTGTTTCTGCAGCCAGGCCAGTTCTGTGGCACCCCAGCCTCCAGGGAGATTGGCAGGCATGCTGTTTTGTTTTTGAGACAGGGTCTCACTACGTTTCCCAGGCTGGCCTCAAAGCCCTGGGCTCTAGTGATCCCCCTGCCTCAGCCTCCCAGGTTCTGGGGTTACAGGGCACTACCCCAACTGACCGGCAGGCGTACAGTTTAAGAAGTGTGCTTAGGAATTTTATTTGGGCTGGGAGTGGGCTGGGAAGGTTTTCCCGAAGGAGGGCTCTAGCCAGTCTTTGGCTTGTGGGTTTTTTTTCACTCCTATCAGGGCACGTGACACCCTGGGTGTTGGAGAGTGTAATAGTTGAAATGCAAAGAGGTTTGCACAGGATGTCACATCTGCACAGCCAGGGAGCTGAGATGGGCACCCAGGCTGCCCACCTTCCAGTGGGGTGCTTGATGAATGTCCCACTGGTGCAGTGGCCAAGGAGGACAGAGAATTTGCTCTTGGGAGCCTGGGCCCCACCTGCCCTCCCTGTGCTACGTCCCCTCAGGCTCCTGAAACTGCTGGTGAGGGTGGCAGGAGGGTGGTAGAGGATGAGCACCCTCAAGGCCCGCACTTCAGGGCACAGGGAGACTGAGTCCACCCCTGGGTGGGGGGAGGACGGCAGCCAGGTCCACTGGGGGCCTTCTGGACGCGAGCAGGGCAAGCTGCCTGGGGCTGGCCGTCTGTGCCCGTCCCTTGGCGAGCCAGAGGGGCAGGAATGGAGCCGAACTTGAGGAAAAGTTGGCGGGGGGTGGGCTGGGCTCTCCAGCGCTGGCGCTGGGACTTTCTTCTTGGGTTTCAAGTAAACAGTCTGAGCCCTCCTCCTCCCCTGCCTCCACCCCCAGCTCCTCATTCGATGGGTCTCATGTGTTTCTATTTAAGGGTTGCAAGTAAACCCCACTGATTGGCGGCCTCAAACCCTCTGGACTCCTCGCTGGGCCTGGGCTGTGGAGAAGTCTCTCCGGCTCTCTCCCTCTCCCGCCCGAGGGGAGCCGGGCTGCCTTTTCTCTCTGGGTTTACAGGGCTTGGGGCAGAGGCAGGGCCTCCTCCTCCCTCTCCTCTTTCTCCCTCCTGCGCTCTGGCCTCAGCCCTCATGGGCCGCCCACCCGCCCCCTGGGGCCCTCCACACACCCCTGCTGGCCCCAGCGTCTGGACAGACCACTTGGGCCCCAGGCCGCTCCCTCAGCTCCCCAATGCTGGGCTGTGACTTAACTCTTCTCTGCAGAAGCCCTTTTCCTCCACATCCTTGGCCTCTGTCTCTGTCTGCCTCTGTCTCTGTCCTCCCCCTCTTCCTCCCCCTGTCCCCTGGCTCCCCATGTCCCCCGGTCCCCGCAGGGTAGCGGGCCGGTGTGGAGCCTTGCTATATGGCCTGTCCTTGGGGCCCGGAGAGCTGCGAGCCCTGGCTGCGGGCAGCCCCTCGGAGCAGCACTGGCGACCGAGCAGCCTCCCCCGAGGCTGATGGACAGGGGGCGCCCCGGCCGCGGGGCCATGGCCGGCCGCTGGCTCACCGCGTGCTTTCTGCCCTCGCCAGGTGCCGACACCAACGCCGAGCCCATGATCCTGGAACAGTACGTGGTGGTGTCCAACTATAAGAAGCAAGAGAACTCAGAGCTGAGCCTCCAGGCCGGGGAGGTGGTGGATGTCATCGAGAAGAACGAGAGCGGTGAGTGCCCGGCCATCCGGCTGTCCACTCGGGGCCCCGGCCTGGCTCCCCGGCCTGGCTGGGTTTTGTTCCCCTCCTCCTCCCCCACCTCTGCAGCTATACGTTATTTCCATCTGGCAGGGAGAGGCCAAGGAGTCTGAAGTTCCCCCTGTTGGTTTGGGCTGCAGGCCAGCAGCTTGCCTGGTGGTGGAAGAATGTCTCCCTGGCTCCGGGGTAATTAGCCGGCTTGTGTGAATGCAAGGCCAGGGTGGCAGCCGTGGGCATAACTGTTCAGCCCCTGCCCACAGACCCCATGCCATCGAGGCCCCTGGGGATGGTGGCTTCAGGCTCAGCAGTGTCCAGCCGTGGCTTTCCCTGTTGGGGCCATATTCTAAGCCGGGGTCCTGGAAGGAGCAGGAGAACTCAGCCAGCTGGTTGGGAAAGCAGGCCGTGACTTCACTGTGGGGTCCAGAGTCCCTAAGGAAGGCCCGGGCCTGTGGGAGTTGGCTGGAGTCTGGTTGGTGAACTGACTGCCCGCTGTGGAGCTAGAGGCTGGGGACCTGGGAAGAGAGCCTTGAGGGCGGCAGCCAGGTCCTACAGCACTCTGTCTTTGGAAGCTGACGTAGGGGCCGTATCTGGGCAGTCTGGGGACTGCTGGTTCCAAGGTTCTTGTAGAGTGGACCAAAGTCCCTTGGTGTCTTTGGTAGCGGGTGGAAAAAGGGAGATCCTGAGTGTGTCAGTTTCGAGTTGTGGGCCCGTGGGCCCCTGCAGGGACCGGGATGGGCCTTAGACCCAATGCTTCTACTGGCAGAGCCCCACAGCCTGCTGGGGGGCGTTGGGCTGGTTGCTGGGCATCTTGTTTCAGTTTCATTTTGCACCGGGGAGGCCCCTGTGTGCAGGAGCTTCCCTGGACTGTATTTCATGGACACTCCCAGAGGGGAGGGGCCTGTTCTCTCTTCCCTGTCTCTTTCCGGGTCCCAAAAGGAACACAAACCAACTTTTTTTTTTTTTTTCCTTTTGGTGCTGGGATTGAACCCAGGGCCTCATGCCTGCCAGGCAAGTCATCTATCACTGAGCCACATCCCAGCCCAAGGAAGCCAAAGGACTATTAGTCCATTCTGTAGACAGAGTGACTGAGGCACAGAGAGGGAAGGGAAGGAAGTCTTCTGAGATCCAAAGTAAAACTAGGATGATCCTGCGCCCCTGATTCCTGTGCCTCTGGGTGGCAGGTAGCTGCAGAGAGGCTGGGGAAATCCAGCAGGCCTCCTGGGGGAGGCAGGCCCAGGCTCCTGTGCAGGAGGCACTTTTAACTCCTGCCTCAGAATGTGCTCCCCGAGAACAGACCTCCAAAGCTTGGGCCTTTCACAGACTGTTCCTCTCTCAGAGAGGTCGGGCTCTGTCCTCATGCCTGGAGCCATGGCCAGGGTGGTTGGCAGTGACACTGCACACCTGGCAGAACCACGTTTCTAATGCAAGGTTTGACCCTTCACTTCCAGGAACCACCACAGTGGTCCCTTCCTCAACAGCTTTGCCCTCAGCCTCTGTCCCATCGCCAACCCCACCATCCTGCTCCCTAGGGAAGCTGGCATTGCCGTGGGGTCTCTGGAATGGGAGGGTCTCTGGAATGGGAGATGCCAGGAGAAGGGTGTTTGCTTGTTTGGGGGCTTTCACCTCAAAAAGACGGGCCCGTTTCTCTACAAGGTCAGTTCTTCCTAGAGGTTCTCACCTCACCTGCGCATCTCACCCACAGCCATGTAACCCTGCAGCAGCAGGAGTTGAGGAGCTCCTGGGTCTTTGGGGTCAGCCACTGGCCAGGATAGCGGAAGAGGAAGCTCCGTATGAAAGGAAGTCTGTTCTACTCTAAGATGCGTAGGGGTGTTTGTGTCTTTTCCCTTCCTGTCCCACCTCCCGGAGCCTAGGAACACTTGGGAATCCTACCTGGAGGAAAGATGAATGTCTGTGTTAGACTTGGAAATGGTGCAGAGATATCTGTTCCCCATGACTCCCTATCTCCCCCTCACCCTGAGTGGCTGGAGGAACCTGATCTGGCTCCCTCCCAGGGAGGGAGCCGCTATCCCTGGAAATAGGATTCTACCTATCACTTGCTGTCTGCTTGACATCAGGTACTTCTGATTCTCTGGGCCTCAGTTATCCCTTCTGTAAAATGGAGGTAGCCTTGCAGCTTCTTGAGAACAGGGGCTGGAGTAGACGACTTCCTTGAGCCCTCTCCTGGGGTGAACTTGGCTGGGGAACTCAGTAGGGCCCTGATGTTAAGTAGAGAAAGCCTTGCTGTGCATAGCTTTCCTGCTTCTCTGGAAGTTTAGTGACTTTCCCCTGGATAGAGACAGCTGCTCAGCTGCAGATGTTTGCACAGAGAACTGGAGTGCTGTGGCCACCCATACAAACCCACCCTCTCTGTCACCATCAGAAGCCAGGAGGCCTGGAATTTACAACCAGAGGAACTAAGTGGGTGGAAGGGAGAAAGGAAGAAGGCCAAACTGCAGATCCTGGGAGGTGGTTCCTCTGGTAGGGAAGCTGGAGGCCTGGGGTGGGGGTGGGGGGAAGCCTGTTGTGCATCCTGGGAGCTAGCTTTGGAAGGAGTGGTGAGTGAGGCTTTTGAACTCTGGAACAAAGACCCAATTGTGATGCCTTTGACCTGGGACACGGTGGGCGAGTTGAGGCATTTCCACCAGCCATGTTGGGGCAGCAGCTCAGTCAGCACCATCCCTGCCTCCCTGGACCTCCTGCTGGGTGCCAGGTTCTGCCTGGGTGCCTTCTCACCTAGCTGGCAGTAAAATAGAGGTTCCATAGAGGCGACCTCTGGTCCTCTGGCTGGGACCTTAGCCAGGAAGTGCTGGGCAGGTGAGGACGTGCCAGCGCCCTGTGCTCTCATCTGTCTCAGCCCATGTGCCTGGAAGGTAATTTCAAGTCCACAAACAATGAACAATAGGTGCCAGGCCCTGCCCTTCACGGAATCATTCTACCAGAACCATGGAACAAGTCTATGTGGCCGCAGGAGGCACTTTTAACTGTTTGGGGGCTGAAGTAACAAAGAGTCCAAGAGTTAAGATCTCTCCCTTCTACAGATCTCATGGGAGAGACTAAGAATGGGCTGAGCCCAGATGGCAAGTGGGCTGTGGGCTGGGGAGAGACATAAGCTAAAAGAGCCAATGCAGAACTCCCAGGACCATCCTTGCCAGACGATGTCTCTGAGACCCTCTGCCAGCATGGTGCTCATAGATAGTAGAAATTCATATTGCTTATTGCTAGTTGATTCTTTGAACTTGGAGGCAGGTGACAGCTGAGAAAATCTCAGAAGGAGGATGTTTTCCCAACACTAAAGATAAACCCATTCCTTGGACATAGATAATCAGAAGTTACAGGTTCCCAAGAATGGAACCTGAGTAGCTTTTGGAAGCATTTTTGATCAAACAGAACTTGGGGGGGGTCCCTGCCAAGAAAGAACAATTTTGTCTCCGTCCATCAACAGGGTGACATAGAGCAGAAAGATTCAACAACTTTGGTAGCTTTACCACCCTGCAGGCCAAGCAGGGCATACGGCAGCCGTTGTTGCTTTGTGGAAACCCTTCTACCCTAGACGTGAGCCGCAGTGCCTGAGATGACTCCTTTGTAGAACATTCTTGTGCCTCAAAGACCACATTGGCTTCACCCTCTAGCAGGCAGCAGCCCTAACATCTGGCAGTGTGAAGGTGCCAGGGTCCTGATTTCTCTGAGTCCTGTGTTGAGCAAAACTGCTTCCAACTTTCCAGAATTGTTTTTTCCTTCTCGGGAATACAGGCCAGCACAGGAAGTGGGGAGATGAGTCAACAGAATTTTTCCTGCCTCAGCTTTCTTCCTCTGAGTCTCTTTATTTCCTGGCACTGGCACCATATTCTGGGGGTTCTTGTACTTCCTTGGAAGCAAGACATTTTGAGCTTCTCTGGTCCCTCCACTTATTTTTACCAGTAAGAAAACAACCTTGAAAATCTTCGGTTCCTCCAAAGTCAGCGCTTTGGTCCCAACTGAGTTGTGAGCAAGGGATAGAAATGGGCTGTCTTGCTCAACAGATTATTGAAAGGTTGCAGGAAAATCTCACTGAACCCAAGGATGAGAAGTAAATCCCAGCCTCAGGAGGCTGAAATTAGGAACCAGAAAGTCTGTGCAAGCCAAAAGAAGCTACTCTTGGCTCTGTCTTGGGTTCCAAATGGATTGAAAGCATAGCTGTGCTCTTCTAAGTGTAGACCAGCCTTCTTTTCTTCAGATAGCAGCTGGTTTACATGGTGTTAGCTTGTTAGCATCAGAAGCTCTATGATAGCTACCAGTTCCTGACAATAGCTTCTGCTTCTCTGAGCTCAAAATTTTATGCTGGAGCTGGGCAGTGTCTACACCCATAGTCTCAGCTACTTGGGAGGCAGAGGCAAGTGGATTGCTGGAGCCCATGATTTCAACATCAGCTTGGGCAACATGGTTTGACTCCATTTCTTTTCTTTTCTTTTTTAACCCGGGATTGCACTCGGGTACTCAACCACTGAGCCACATCCCCAGCCCTATTTTGTGTTTTATTTAGAGACAGGGTCTCACTGAGTTGCTTAGCGCCTTGCCTTTGCTGAGGCTGGCTTTGAACCCGCAATCCTCCTGCCTCAGCCTCTGGAGCCCCTGTGATTACAGGAGTGCGCCTCCATTCCAGCTTTGAGACTCCATTTCTTAAAAAGAAAAAAAAAATGAAGTTCGGATCTGATTGGTTCCCAGTCAGCCAATGAAATGGCAGACCGTAGAACACACGTCCACCATGGTCCAATCAGCTATGTTTAGGAGAAGCTACCAAGAGCGTAAGCCTGGCTACCTCTTCAACAACGGTTCTTAAGGGCAGGAGAAATATTGGGGAGGAGGGTAAGGAATAAAAAAATGGTGGTTTCCACCATTTACTTGTTTAGCAGCTGTGTATGGTGGAAAGAGCAAAGAAACCTAAATTCAAATACTGAATTTAAGACCGAAAGCAATGGGGTGTGGATATAGCTTAC